GCATTAATCTCATTTGTGAGGGCTCCATCCTCAAGATTTAAGTACTTCCCAAAGTCCCACCTATTAATACCATCACCTTTAAGGGCGTAGGATACCAATATATAATCATGGGTGGGAGATAACATTCAGGCCATCACAACTTGCACGTATTTATGTTTTTCACTTTTTTCAACAATATTTTTTCATCATACAAGTCTTTCATCTTCTAAGTGCTTTTTAATATTTAGATGCTATTTTAAGTCAAACAATATCCTTAATTTTCTTTCTGGATTGTTCATTGTTAGTGTATAACATGCAACTGATTTTTTTGTTCATTTTGTATCCTGCAACCTTTGTATGCCAGCAAACTGGATGACAAATTATTATTCTACTAAGTGACTTAGTATAATACTTAGTATACTGCTTAGTATAATGCTAATTATATTAATGTCAGTATTAGTATAATGTTGTGCTCATAGAATGAGTTAGGAAGTATTCCCTTATCCTCATTTTTTGGGAAGGAATTTGAGGAGGATTGGTATTAAGTCTTCAATATTTGGTAGAATTCACCACTGAAGTCATCTGGTCTTGGGCTTTTCTTTATTGGGAAGCTTTTGATTACTATTTCAGCCTCCTTACTATTATGATAGGTCTATTCAAATTCTCTGTTTTTGAATGAATTTTTGGTAGGTTTTGTGGAATTTGTCTATTTCCTCTTGGTCATTCAATTTGTTGACATACAACTGTTTATAGCATTCTCTTGTAATCCTTTTTATTTCTGTACACTCAGTAGTAATGTCCTTTCATTCCTGATTATAGTAATTTGAGGGGTTTTTTTTCTTGTTTTTCCTTTGATCGAAAGGTTTGTCAATTTTGTTGATCTTTTTAGAGAACCAGTTTTTGGCTTCATTGAACAGGGTTTTTTCCTGTTCTCTATTTCATGTATTCCTGCTCTGTTCTTGATAATTTCTTTCTTTCTACAAGCTTTGGGTTTAGTTTGGTCTTCTTTCTAATTCCTTAAAGTAGAAAGTTGAGATTTTTCTTTTTTAATATATGTATTCCTCCTAAAATCTCTTTACTAGCACCTTCCTGGTATATTGGCCCTTATTTTTTTGAGATGCCCCTCTTTATTTCTCATCATAATTTTGTCTGATATTAAAATAGCCACCCCAGTTTTCTGATGTTTACTCTTTACGTGGTTTATCTTTTTCTGTCCTACTTTTAACCTATTTGTGTATTTTTTTAAAGATTTATTTATTCATGCATACAAAACTGGGGTACAAGCCAGGGCACAGGGGCAGTGAGAGGATTCACCACAGACAGAATGGAGAACAGGACATGCAGATTGATGAAGTACATTGCTGAGGGGAGCAGCCTGAGAGACAGGAAAGGTCTGCTGTGTCATGTGGTCACCACCCCCCCTCGTGGGGTGGGGGGGTCAGACTCACACTGAAGCAGCTGTGGCTTGCTTGCAGTGTTGCACTTAACCTGCTGTGCCACCAGCAGGTGGCACAAACAGGAGGGCCCCTGTTTGTGTATTTTAAAGTGTCTTTTGTACACTGCATATAGTTGGGACTTGCTTGTTTATTCTGGCAATCTCTTTTAATGTGTGCTTTGTGTCCAGTTAGAGTTGTAAATATTTTGTTTAGACTTATTTCTGCATTGGTCTTTGTTTTTTATTTACTACATCTGTTTTTAATTTTTTTTGGTTAATACTTATTTATGCATACAGAACTGGGGTACAGGCCAGTTGTGCAGGGGCAGTGAGATGATTCACCAGAAACAGAGTGGGGAGCAGAATAGGCAGATTGACAAAGTACACTGCTGAGGGGAGCAGCAGGCAGGTCAGGAGAGGTCTGCCATGCCATATGGGTCACCTTCAGGGCAGGTGGGGATCAAACTCATGCTGAAGTGGCTTTGGTTTCTTAGAGCTGTGCTTTAACCTGCTGTGCCACCAGGGAGGGCCAAAATTCTGTTGTTGTTTTTCTTTAACTTAACCTCTTTGCACTGTGTTTTCAGTTGTTGTCTTAGGAATTCCAATGTGGTACCTTAGATTTATCAAACCCTACTTAATACTATAATACACATAAGGTATAAGAAACTTAATACTATAAGTTTGGGCTTATAGATAAAACTTATAGTGTAAGTTTCTTATACCCACCTACTCCTACAACCCCTGTGCTATTTTCTGTGACTCACCTGTAATTTTGCATATGCTTTTGGATGATTCTCATAGAATTCCATTTTATAAATGGAATATACAGTGGATTCAACCTATTGTAGAATTTGAAGGTTTTTGTTTTTAATGCTTCCAGGACCATTTTGTGTCTATTGTTTTTTGGTAAACATAGGTACATATTTTTGCGTGTACCCTAGCAGTTGAATTAGGTCTTAAGGAATAGTATACATTTAGCTTTCCTGATTAGCTTTAAAAATAACCAGACCAATTTACACTCGTTCCACCAGTGTTAAGATTTTCAGTTGCTCCACATCAGTACATAATGTTTTCTGTCTTTAGCTTTAGCCATAGATTTAAAACTGAGATGGAAAAATGCACAAAATGATGTAAAAATAAACTATTATTCATTAAAAAAAACTTTGGGGTGATAGATAAAACAGTGTGGGTGCCAGATTAGACTGTTTTCTAAAGAATATTTGTCTTAATATATGTGTGAATGATTTAATAATTGTCGACTAGGCAGCCAAAAGATAAAAAATAATTCATATTGCAATCCTACCGGTGGAGAGATTTGAAAGCAATCTGCATCTGGAGCATCCATTTGCATCCCTCTTGCTCTGTCAGTGGGGTGGGTCACTGAGAACCAGTCTCATCAGGACTGGCCCATAGAGCCATAAGGTTATAGAAACATAGACAAAAGAGCCCTTCCCCCACATGCGGGAGGTTTTCTAGCCTGGTTGGTCCCATGTACATGCAACCTGATGTGACATCATCAGACCATTTCCTGAACGTCACAGTGCTCTCAAAGTCATAGTGTTCTAAGGCACTTACTCTGGCCATTTCCTCCATCTGTTCTATGAGACAAGTGTTCCCCCTCTTCTTTACTTGGCAAACTCCTACTTCAAGGTTTATACTATATTTCTAGTGCCTGTCCCAAATCTTTCCCCAGTTCTTTGGCAGAGTTAGATATCTCCTCCGAGCTCCCTGTCATCTAACTGAACGGTTACTCTTTTTTTATATCCCTTTCTAACTTGTATATCTTCTGGGAATACAGTTTTTGCCATTCAGCCCTCATCTGTTCACCTTTCTGGGTTAGTGCTCTAAATTCCCTTTGTGACACTACCTGCCCCCTGCTCTAAGCCTTCTTCTTTTGGGCCATCTTTTCTAGATCACTGTAGATTCAGGAGTAGCCACAAGACCCCCAACTTGGCTAATGTTAGTGAGTCCCAGTACTTTTATTCACACTCTTGAAAGAAGAGAAGCTCTTTTGACTAGACATGAACCCAAGAGGGTGTTAGTCTGAACTGTTAAATATCACAGCAGCCTCTGCCTGTAAAGATGGAAACAAAGCAGAGTCTGAGTTACACTCTGACAAGCCTATGGATTACACAGTTCCTGGACTTGTCAGTTATGTAGCCCACTCTTTTTCCTTCTTTGGCTTAAATCAGTTTGAATAGAGGGGTTTTGTCACTTGAAGTTTCAGGAGATCTGATGTGAGATGGTTGTATTCCTTCCCTGGCTACCTGGTCTCTATGAGAACAATTCATTTGATTCAAATTAGGAAGGATGGGAACCTACTAGAAAAGACCTCAATATTACTGGGCTTTCAGGAGGCAGGGCACAGCCAAGCTGACCCATCAATTCAGATGATGGAGACCCCTTGTAGCCTCTCATGCCCTGCATTTCCCTAACTTCAACCTGCCACATTATGGGTGGGAAGCTTCAGATAGGTTAAATGACTTGCTCAAAATTGAACAGCTAAAAAGCTGTCACCACCTTCCATTTGGCCTTAGAATCCATACTCATCACTTTACGAGCAAAGGTACTACTAGGTGCTGGGTCATAGAAATGTCTAAGGGAAACAAGGCTTCCTGAGGGAACAAACAACGCCAGAGCCAGGGCTTGAGCCAATCACACCTTTATTAGTCTCTGCAGGAGAACCAATGAACCCCATCTACCAGGGAACTATAGCAGGCTACTCTGGATACTGGGCAAGGATGTTAGCATTTTGTTGATGATAAGTGCATAGGGGGAGGAGCGTAGAAGGGAACCAAGTGGGGAGACTGCTGGGCCACCTACAGGGAGCACACATGGTATCTTCCAAACCCACACAAAGATCAGGCCTCAGATGTGAACAATGCCATCTTCTTCAGATTGAAGAAAGAGACAAAGCCTGAGATGGTGATGACCACATCTACGGACAGAGAGTCAAACTCCTGGGGACCAGAAATGCCTATTTCCTGATGGAGGCACCATCCGCAGGCTGGAAGCCCCAAACAGCTTAGCTGTTCCCCCAGCAAGGGGCCACCATTTCATCTCAATTACTGCCCCAGCCACCCTGATATGGAAGAAAGGTGCTTTCTAAGCACTGAGGGAACGGGGTTCAGGAAACTGACAGTGGGAAGAATGGGGCTATACTTAAGTGTCTGGGTTTGTGTATGTATCAGTATTAACAATACAGGCAATATATTCATTACAGGTACAGTTATGAAATCCTCTCCCAAAATGCTCACATCTCCCCCTCCCCATCTAACTCTTTATCCTGGAGGTTCATCGTGATTGGACACCAGTCCCCACCCAAGTCCAACTGAATTCCCCTTTTAAGTCATTGGACGTGGCGTGATACTCTCAGCTCTGCAGCCTTGCAACGACTATACTCCTAGCCTACCTTCCTCACCCTTCCCTCGTGTGCTAAATTAAGACTAATAGCCTTCTCAAAATTTTTGTTTATTCCCTTTTCCTCCCACCAGCCTTGAACTGTAGGAGAAAAGAACTTGACTCAAATTTGTCCCTGGTGCCGGGTAACTTGAAGTCAAATGAGTTTTCTGTGTCCTGTCTGATGTGGTTTTTTTTTTTTTGGGGGGGGGGTAAGGGGGGAATATATGTATGTGTCCATAATGGATTTCTTGGGGTTTTTTGGGGGGGGGGAGGGAATATATGTATGTGTCCATAATGGATTTCTGGGGGTTTTTTTGGGGGGGAGGGAATATATGTATGTATCCATAATAGATTTCTGGGGTGTTTGGTGGTGACTATGAGGTTTTTGAGATGTTTGTGCTAGGAATGTTTCTTTCCATTGGGGGAGGAGGGAGTGGAAAGGTTGGTCCTAATCCAGAAGGGGCTAATGAAAAGAAAGGAGCCAAAGTGGGAGCAGGGGTTAGATTGTGGAAGGTGGTGTCTAGGAGGAAGAAGGGTCTGTTGGTCTATGCACAGGGTCCAGCGCATGAGTCCTGGGGCTCAGAACCAGCACGGAGACCACATAAGGGATCCGAGCGCAGCACCCGTGGCAGCCCCGGCAAGCATGCCCATGGCCAGTGGGGCACCAGAACTGTAACACGGATCCTCCCGCACTACCACGTGTGTCACGCCGCCAGGGCCTGCAGAAAGAGGTAATGAAGGTGCAACATTTCATAGCATGGAGCAGAGAGATCGTCATCTCAACCCACCCATGTGACTTCAGCCCAACTCCAAAGTAAGGTGCTGGCCTATTCTTAAGCTCCCCAGTAGGAAAAAGTAGGCTTCGAGGCAAGAAGTACATGAGCACAGTCACCATGACCTCTAGGCCTTGGATCAGCTGCGAATGTTTTGGGGCAAAGAGTGGTATGGTAAGGAAACGCCTGGATCTCTAAGCATTTCCAGACCACACCTTGGGGTGGCTATTTCCCATCAAACTCTGGAAGTGGGAGAAAAACGGTTCCTGCATTAGCCACCAGGGGTCGCTACGAGCTCAAGAACGGCTGGTAGGTCACGGGATCAATAGGCGTCCAGCTACAGAGCTGACGTCACCCCTACAGTGAGGATGGTCGCTGGTCCAAGCGCTATTCTGAATGTCGGGGTGAGGAGGGCCATGTGGAGGGCCCCACTTGGAAAAATCAGTGATCACTAAAAGAATGGAACCTGATCCTCATTGAGACCATAGGCAGGGCCTGATGCTAAATAAAGGTAAGGATGGGGTGGTCCCGACACTTACCTGCATAGGGCGGTCCATAGTAGCTGCGGACATAAGTAGCCTCGTGTGCGTTGGGAGGCACCACCTCATAGTAGTCCTGGTACGGGCTGTAGACACGTACCTGGGGAGCCCTACCAGGTCAGCCACCTGGGTTTTCCTTGACCCAGGTCTAATACCCTATTCTCACACTTGTTCAAGACCCCTGCCCCTAGGAGTCACCTCTGCAAGTTTATAAATAGATTCCCAGCAACCAGGAACTCCAGGAGAAAGGCCTTGCCTTCCCATGAAGTCCCTGTTACTGGTCCTCTTAAAATGCAACTCCTACCTCCAATCCCCAGTATGGCCATGTTCCGCAGCTGTTCTCCCACTCAGCACTGCCCTTATTAGAAATTCTTCATGGCTCCCAACTTTCTCGTATGGATAGTCTTAATATTTGCAGACAACTCTCCAGTAGTCCCACTTGACCCAATAGACTTCTCTACTCTACTAGTCATGGAAGGATGTCTTTGCCAAGCCCCAGACCCAGGAATAAAAGAAGATTAAAAAGGAAGAAAAGAAAGGGTCGGGATGGGATATAATCAAAGCCTTTATCGAGCATCTACCATATGCAGGTCCAGAGGAAGGGGTTTTTATATTACCTTTAACCCTTACAACTGGCATTATCTTTACAGTGGAAGGAGGCTCAGAGAAAAATGGCCCATCTTCTCTGAAATACACACCCTCTTCCCTTCCCATTAGTTTTTTTACCAATCCCTCGAAGTTTGCCTCTAGAGTCACCCACTACAGGAAGGCTCTAGTCTAAGAATCCTTTCTCCCAGATTCTCTATGGACTGTGTGACCTGTTCCTATTCTTCTGACCTTTCCTGCCTGCATCCCAAATGTGAGCTACCTACAGGCAAAGACTGACTCATTTCTGTCACCAGTAGGGCCTACTGAATAGCAAGAACCAATGAACATAGTGCTGAATTAAATGGACACTCCTAATTCAAGTCCTTCGTAGGGGAGCACACCTGGAGAAGGGGCAAAATCCCCTTCTCCCCAGGATCCTTCTTAGTCCCTTTCTACTCTATCTCTAACTGAACTTAACAACTGAAAGTATGAAGTCTCTTAAAGTCCAAGTATCTTAAATTCTATCAATCTCAAAATATTTTCCTCATTATTCCATCCCCCCCCCCAACCTAGTCTTCCTGTATATGCGTTTCTTTAAATGCCACCGGCATGTTCTCATGTTCTCAACCCAAAAAAAAGCATGTTGTTACCCTTGTCTTCACACACACATCTTTCATATCACATCAGATACCAACTGTGCCAAGGAAATAAACCACTGGTTCTCATAACTTGGAAGTTGTGAGTGATCTTGAGTAGCTAAGAGAAGAAGCCAAGACTATGTGGGTTGAAGAATGGTTGAGAGATAGGGGAAGAGTCAACATATGACATCTCTCTGAAGAACTTCAGCTATAAAGGAGCATGTCTTATGATTTCAAATCTGTATGTTATTATCCTTTGATAGGGATACTCTTCTCACCTTTTTCCATTCAACTATCTAACTTGTTTTCAGGCTCAAGTCCGAACCTGACTCTCAGGTTCTGTTGGGGTCCTGTATATGCTCCTGTAGCCTTTAGGCTTCACTTATACAATATCAATTACTCTGTCCCACTACTGTTTACCTGTTTGTGTGTCTCATATCAGACTTGGAGACAACTCTCCATTCTTCACCCTTGCTAAGGTAGGGATTGATTAAGGTCTAGTAAGACCAGACTGGACTATGTGAAGTTCCTAGTGTTTGCTGAGTTTATCTCAAGGGGATCAAATATAGTGCCAGACTGACACTAAGGTCACTCAACTCTGAGTCCAACTTCAAATCAGAAAGAACAAAGAATCTCAAAAATACAGGGGGCTCAGACAGGCAGACAAGTGAATGCCTTCACTATGCCTTTTCCCAACGGGTGATCCAATAAAGCTTTAATGAGGTTGACCAGGATCTGGGATATTTCTTGAAGGAGCTGGGAAAATCCAAGCACTTGGATCCCCAGTTTTACTAATAGGGAAATTAAGACCCAGAGCCTACACCTGCCTTGCAGCTCCACAGTGAGTCAGTGGCCCTGTCAGGAGTAGAAAACATCTGATGTCCCTGAAGGGCAAACTGTTTTCACCCGCCAGGCCTGGGAGGCCCAGAGGTAAGCTAGTGTGGATCACCTGGCAACCACACAGAGACCTCATGGGCAGAACCTCAAGATTTGATCCCTGATCCTCCCCTGAGCAGGCCCAGCCCCTTTTGGGATGGGGCTTCGTCAGCCACTCAGGAGGTCACATGTAAATGAACATTTCTTTCAGAGAAACTGTTGTATACTTGGGCTTAAATCCTATTTTTTGGGCAGCTCACTTTAAACAAATTTATGTCTGAGTTTGGGCATGGGGGATGCCTCCGAATGCTAAGCTGGGAGAACTAACTCTGCCTCTGACGAATTTAGTGACCCCGGTCAAGTTATGTAACCTCTCAGAGCTGCTGTTTTTTTTCTTATCTGTAAATGGGGACAGTGTTTCCTGTATTGCCCACACTCCCGGGCACCGTGAGAATCAAACAGAGCCAAGTCTGTGCAGCTGAGTGGGCCTGGCACTTCTGGGATCAGTGGTTCTGCACATAAGAATCACCAGGAGAAATCTTTTAAACACAGATTACCCAGGTCCCAGCCTAGATCTATAAATTCAGAGCATCCAGGTACAGGATCGAAATCTGCTGGGGTTTTTGTTTTTTGTTTTTTTTTTTTTTTTTACTTTTTAGAGATTCTAATGCACAGCCATATTAAGCACCACCATGCTAGAAAGGGACTTCACAGTTGTCTGTAAGAACATAGGTACTCTAATACAGGCCACCACTGTGCCCGCACCTGCTTTCCCAAAATTGGTCGTGAAGGAGGGGAATCACAGAGACAGATAACAGATTAAATTACATATACTATGCAGTGGTGATGCCATAACAGGTTTTTTACTTCTTTCCTCTCATTCTTTCTCCCTTTCTTCCTCTTCTGCTACCTCAGTAGGCTTTAGGCCTACTTGTGTTTGATTCTCAAGTGCCAGGACTAAGTAAAGGAAGGACATATTGTCCCCCTCACTGAGTACTCAGTGAGTACTGTGTGTAGCAGGCCCTGTGCCAGGCTCCACAGGGACAAAACTGAGACCTGGTCCTTGCTTGGAGGAAGTTCCAGTATCATGATAGAAAACAGACTGCAATAAACAGTCTCAGAAACCAGGTAGAATGAAGACAGTACTAAGCATTCATGGGGAGCACTGAGGAAGGAAGTTAAAATGCCTGGAGTCCTGGGAAGTCCTTCCTGAGGAGGTGGTAGCCTCTGAGGTGGGTCTTAGAGTATACGTAGTTTGTTAGGTGAATTGGGAAACTAAGGATCTTCAAAGCAGAGAGAAGAGCATGTGCAAAGGCTGAGAAGAAGGAAAATGTCTGGCTCAGCTGGGAGCAGAAGATAACAGAGGAGTTACAGTAGAGGGGATGAGGATGGGTGGCAAGTAAGACTGACCCAGGCCAGCTCCCTTGAACCTTAAAAACAGGGCTGTGCTTGGTACCCCCTGGGTGATGGGGAGCCATGAAATATTTGTGAGTAGGGAAGGGATGTGATCACACCCAGGTTTGGAGGCATATCTGGTGGCCAGATTGGAGGCAGGGAAGACTGAGCCAGCACTTACCCAGATCCGCCTCTCAACCTTACAGGGACTCCATGTTCGGGTCACACACCTGACCTTGGGGCAAACCCGGCGGCTCCTGGGAGGTACCGTGGCTCCAGCTGGGGCCTGCTCAAGCCACAGAAACCCAAGAAGGAGGGGGAAGGAGTCAGAGGCCCTCTACATTTGGAGAGTCTCTGCTCATAAAAGGTCCTTCCAGAGCCCTCTACCAGCTTAGCTTGGGAAGGGGGTGTCCTTTTCCTCTTTAGCCCAGGGAAAAGGGAGGAAGCTCAGAGAGGAGTGGTAACTATGCCAGAGGTAGACAAAGAAGGAGTATCAGTAATGTTTCCAGAATTAGCCCACCTTCAGCTGTTTCAGGCTGCTGAGGCTCCCAGGCTCCCAGAAGACCTCTGACCTGCCCTACTGTTCCTCCCCTCCCATCACTGTCCCCGTCAGCCTTGCCCCTGACCAGGCTCACTACCAGCACCCCTGGAGTGTCAGGGATGGGGGGCTTTTCCTCCACACAGAGTAAGGTATAAGACTGCAGAATGTGGAGGGACAAAGCCCAGGTCACTAAGTAGGTGCAGGTCAGAGAGAAGCCCACAGGCCCAGGTGTGAACACAGAAATAGGCAGACATGGGTACAAAGACAGAGGAAGAAACACATTCCACTTAGGCAAGCCCTGGGACCGGAGGGACCTGATGTATATAGCAGTGCAGGGAGGCAGAAGATAAGGGCAGGCAGATGTGGTAAGCAGAGCAGCCGGAAGGACAGACAGAGACGGGGCAAGGCAGCTTCATGGAGTCACAGAGTGCAGAATGGTCAGCCCTCACCTCCTTCCTTCTGCATCTCTTGGGGGACTAATTTGCCCTGCAATTGGGGGATTTGGAGCTCAGTCAGGTGAATCCAACCAGGGATCCCTTCACCCTGCTGATCACTGCCCCAGCCTCCTTATTACCAGCTCCCTGTAATCCAGCCTCCCCCCAGAAGCTTGAGTCAGTTTCCCAAAGTCTGACCACAGTTCTCCCTGCTTAATGGCTTTTACTGTTTCTACAACCCTCAGGCTAAAGTTCAGTTCCTTCAACTGGATTTTTAAAACCTTTATGACATGGTCCCTCAGATGTCATTTCTTTCCCTCCATGTGTTAACCACTCCCCAGGCCAGACTCCTGACCGTGGGAGGCACACATATCTGCATATCACCTCCCAGCCTCTGTTCATGCAGGTGCTTCTGCAGTAATGCCTCCCCTTGAAACCTCACTGATACAGGTGCTTCTTTTGAACCTCAGCTTCCCTATCTGTAAAATGGGACCAAGAATAACAACCCCACCTCTTGCCAGGGTTGGTGGAAGATTAAATGATATAACTGAGCCAGGTGCTCAGAAGTCTTAGCAGGTAGGTGTTCCAGGAGGTTTCTCATTGCATCGCAGTCTTCCCCACTGCTTCCCATAAACTTTCTCTCTAGATGGAAGGAGGGCTCATTGCGCCAAAGATAGGACCGATCATAGACTCTGGGGTCAGAGAGATGGGAACTGAGGCCCAGCCACGCACCCCTCAAGCAGAGGGCTTGGGGCAGCAACTCAAACCTATACTTCCCTTACTTGCCACTTTATACTTCTTACTCTCATCAGCCAGCAAGGCCACAGTTCAGAACTCCAGCCTGTTGCCAGGACACTGTCTCAGTCTTCTACCTGGCCTCTAGGTATTCACTCTCACCCACTACATTCCCTACACTCAGACTTATCTTTTTTAAAAATCAAAATCTGGCATGATCTGATCATGCTATCCTTCTGCTTTAAAACTTCCAATGGTGGCCCTCCCTGGTGGCGCAGCGGGTTAAAGCACAGCACTAAAGAAGTCAAAGCCACTTCCGCATGAGTTCGATCCCCGCCTGCCCCGGAGGTGACCACATGGCGTGGCAGACCTCTCCTGACCCGCCCGCTGCTCCCTTCAGCAGTGTACTTCGTCGATCTGCCTGTTCTGCTCCCCACTCTGTCTCTGGTGAATCCTCTCACCCTCCGCATCTCTGGCCTGTGCCCCAGTTCTGTATGAATAAATAAATCTTAAAAAAAAAAAAAAAAAAAAAAAAACTTCCAATGGTTTCCTAGTGCCCTTAGCAGAAACCCACGTCCTTAACACAGCCAACGAGGCCCGGCCTGCCAAGCCTGCATCCCCATGAGCTCTCTGATCATCTCCCAGCACTCCAGCCTTCCATCTGTGATAAAATCTTACCCTCCCTCAGGGCCTTGGTACATGTTGTTCCCTCTACCTGGAAAGCTGCCCCCTCACGCACACCACCCCTTCCACCCAGTCTATTTCTGGTTTTCCTTCATGTTTCATCTGAAATCTTGTCTGAATGCCTACCCGAGCCCTCTCACCAAGCCTGCTGTACACTGAATGCACCCTGTGTCTCCACCACCCTTGCACCAAAAACATTCATTATCTAAGTAATTGTTTCACACCTGGCTCCTCCCTAGGCTGAGTCCGGGAGCTCACCTCTCTGAGCTCATCTGTGATCCTTGGTACCTGGCACAGTGTCTGGCCCATAGTAGGAAATCAGTAAATACCTGTTGTGTAGATGAACAACCCTGTCTTATTATCTGCAGAGAGGGAACAATAATCCCAACCTTGTAGGAATGTTGTAAATAGGAATGTTCCTTGTAGGAATTGTACCTGCACCACACCTGGCATATAATAGTTGCTCGATAAAGGACAGTTCCTTTCCACCTGCTTCCATGCCACCCTCTATAACAAGCCTTTTTGGAGGCCTCGCTTGCCCTTCTTCTTCTATCCTCTGTTCTTTTCTGTTTGGGACTCGGAATCTGAGTCTGCGGAGTATTCACTCACATACATGAGCACTGAGAACTCCTGGCTGGTGGAGACCGAATCTGAGTCACTCATGATTCCATGGCAGGAAGGGGTGAAAGGAGAGGGATAGGGAGAGGTAGGGAGAGGGAGCTCACCGGGGTAGAGTTTGCCTCCAGCAGCGCTGTCTTCCATGCTCTGCAAAGCAAACCCAGCCAGACCATGAGGGGGGCGTTTGGGAGAAGGGGATAGGGCCCTGCATTTTAGACTCTCTACCCCAACCCACCCTTTTAGCCCCAGTCTCCCTTGAGTAACACAGATGACTCCCTCCCCTGCCCCATCTCATGGCCAGAGCCCTCAGTTGTGCTGCAACCTCCCATTTTTAGTCCAAAATCTTTGCCTCTAGAAGTTCCAGTTACCCCATCTATGAGTGGACAGTTGGGCTCAGTTGATTCTGTAGAGGCCTTCAGATTCTGACCTGCCTATGCTGGGGCCTCGCTGCCTCCACACCCCAAACCGGTAAACAGCTCCCCAGGCTCTGACCCCAGAACCCCAGGAAGGTCCAGTAGACACTGAACAGTTGGGCCTTTGTCAGTTGCCATGGCACCTGGCTGGGTGGACAAGGCGGCTCTGTGCTTTGTCTAGAGCTCAGCTTTCCCTCTTCCCATACACCCCATCTCTCTCACTCCCCTACAGTGCAAAGGCCAACTGACCCCCTGCCAGAGGGTAGGAAGGGAAAGAATGTGAGCGAGAAGAAGGCGCCCAAGGGAGACCAGCAGTGTGGGTGTGTGTCTGACACTGGGCACATCTGGCTGCCTCTGTTGGGCAGGTCTGTGGCAGATTAGAATCCCCCACCAGGGCATCTTCTCAGAAGGGAGGCCCCCTTTGAGGGTATCACCAGGCTCTGTATGCTTTCTTGGTGTTTTTTTATTTAAAAAAAAATTATTTATTTATGCATAGCATATGAGAGCTGGGGTGTAGGCCAGAGGTGCAGGGTGGAAGAGGATTTACCAGAAACAGAGTGGGAAGCAGAAAACAGGCAGATGGACTGAAATGCACTGCGAGGGGAACAGCAGGGGGAGACAAGAGAGGTCTGCAGTGCCACATGGATTAGCTCCCTGATGGCCATATCTTGGTAGTGCTGTGTCTTTAACCCCTGCACCACCAGGGAGAGCCTGTATTCCTTTGCATCACCCCCAAGCAACGGTGCATCTCAGCAGCTCCTAAATACCTGACTATGAGTGACCAGGGACCACACCCCTTCCCCAGCTGTCCTGAGCTCATCACAGGCTGTGAGGGGTTTACTGGGTACCATACCATGCATCACTGCCAGCCTCCACTGTGACCACCATACTGACTGGTCTTTGTTCTCTCTTCCTATCTCCAGGGAATCAGAAGCCCAATGATTAGAAAGAGGGACACATTCCCCAGGATCCTACCCCATCCTCTCCTGGGAGTGACTCACATGGCATCATCCCGAGTCTCTGCACACAGGTGCAGGCGGGAGCCCTCCCGAAAGTTCACCGTCAGCAGGCCATCTCGGCTCCGCCCCTCTGGGGGCTGCACATCTAAAGGCAAACACACGTATACAAAGTTTCCACAGGACTCTGTCCCCAATTCCCCTGGCAAACCAAGAATAGGGACTGGCTTTTCTGGCTTCTGTTTTCCGGCCATTACCAACCTCTTCTGGTCCCACATACTTTCTTTGGGATTCTTACCTACCCTTTTAGACCCTTTCAGTCCTTTTCCAATGCTGCCTCCCTAGTTAGGTACATCTATCTCCTATGGGCCCTGTTATAACTGTAGTCTGAGCCTCAGTGGAAATTTGCTGTGTGACTCTGGGCCAGTCACTTAGCTTCTCTGAGCCTCATTTCCTTTTACGTTTTTCTAATTCCTATACCCTAGAAGGGAGAGCAGAAACTGTCTGACTCACTTATGACCGAATCATAGGCCTCAGGCCCAGCACAGTGTAGAAACTCAATTAGGAATTGACTTCTTAATCTATGACTCACAAGAATCAACTTCAACTGGGGCTGACAGAGGCCCAGAAACAATGTCTGTAGGAACCCTCTGAAAGCTACGAATCATCTAGTGTTCTCACACAGACACACACTATGGGTCACGCCCAGAGTCACAGGAAGGGCTTCTGCTCACCACGGCACTCCTGGCCAATCTTTATGTCTCGGACATTGAAGTGGATGAGCACGCGGTCTTCCTCATCCAGGGCAGTCTCATCGTGATAGTAGCCCAGGGTTCCGTCCAGCCAGAGGGCAAACCAGTTCCGCTTCCAGCGGCGGAGGATGGAGCCTGTGTGATATTCCAGATGCACCAGGTAGGCTGATGGCAGAGCCTGCCAGGACAGGAGCCTTCATGGGCTCCAGAGTTCCCTCACCCCCACTCCCACTCCTTCCTTGTCAGTCCACCCCCTTGTCTGTCTTGCTTAGCTGTTGCCTCCCTTTGGACTTTACACAGTGGAGTCTTCGTAAGATTAGTGTTATGGTAAAGGTAAACGAGTGACCAGACCCATCTCTGAGGGGCTTCTAAGGCCAAGACCTGGGCCTCTTTGAGGGCAAAGACATCTCCCCAACCTGAGCATCCATCTCATCTCTTATTTGTCTCTTCTTGGTCCTTGGTGTTGTATCTGCTTCTTACACTAGACAGGGGGCTTCAGCTCCTCATGAGGGTCCTGGCACCCAGCAGGACCAAGCTCATGTTTGCTGAACTGACCAAGGGCTATACAGCATGGGGCTTCTAGTCCAGAGATAATTCTTGTTTAGCTCATGGCTGGTCAGAGCTGGCTCTGGAAACAGAGCCTGGTTTCAGACATCTTGTTACTGGAAATCTCTACAGGAAAGGGCAAGACACAGAGCGCTACTTAGAACTTTATGGATTCCAAACACAGAGGCACTTTTCATTTTGTTCTGAGCCTAGCTCTGTGCTGGCTCTGGACTGTGGTAGCTGTGCAGGATCAAATTCAGTCCCTTTGTTTGACAAGCTCACAATCGGAGGCCAATAGAGAGGGAGGGAGTGATAAGACCCACAGGTAAAGGTCTATTATAGGGTGATCAATGCTAAAACATGGCATTGGGGAACCAAGACGGCAGCCTCTAACTCAACTTGTTGTTACAGGAGGGACCAGGGTGGAGCCTCAGAGTCAGAAAAGTCTCCTCACAGGAAGGGACATCTGAGCTGGGCAGGTAGTTCACCAAGCTGTCTGGAAGGGGAAGGACCATCTAGGCAGAGGGAGGAACATGGACAAAAGGAGGAAAAAGGTCCTGGGTTCTTGGGAGAAGGGCTCACGCCTGAAGATCTGACAAGCCACTTCCCTCACCCTAGACACCCCTGAAGGACAGGTACGGGCTCAGCCCAGGGTCACTCACTCTGTCTCCACAGCCAGCCGCCCCTCACCAGGGCCATTTCTTCAAAAGGACTTTCCAGGGTGAAGTCAGGTGGAACCTGTCAGAGGACACACAGGCCTCATCAGCCGCTCCAGAGCAGCTCCCCAGAGAGAAGCCCCCAGCCCTGTCCTCCCTGGGGGGAGCCACCAACTGTTTAAGGGAGCATAAATAAACAAACAAGGGCAGGCCTGCCTGTCTCCTCCCCGTTCTCTGGCAGAGAATGGGAGCACTGTCCCTGTGGGGTCAACAGGGCAGCCACCCATTGTGCTGGGGTGGGGGTGGGGTGAGAAGCCTGGATTCCAGTCTCTGCTCCATAACCTTAGCCAAATCCCTTCTCCCTGGCCTGCATTTCTAGACCTAGAAAAGTGTGTATGGGGCAGGTAGAAGTTGGAATGAGAAATTCTTAAAATGTTAGACGTCCTGGAACTCTGAAACACTGGTAACAGGTTAGAATTCATAGCAATGAATGGACTTGGAGGATAAGAAAAGCCTTCCTTACAGTTAGACCCTGCTTGAACTGCTCACAAAGTAGGTAAAGTATTATTTACCCACAGCTCTGACTGATTGAGCACTACATGCCTGGTATACTTCTCGGTGCTTTTATCTATTATTTCATAAGCTCTTCACAACAATCGGTTATTCCCAGGAATCTGGGGCCTGGAGAGGTCCACTTGCTCACACACACCCACTTGGTAGGAAGCCAGGATCCACACCCAGTTTGGGCTTTTAACTATTACAGCAGAAAGAGCTTATAAAATTCCCAACACCCAGGTCTTACCCCCATAATAACTAAATCCGAGAATCTGGACAAGCACTGATGATAGTCTCTAACGGTACCCCCGTGATTCCAATGTGTAGCACAGTTTAGGAACCACTTCACACACTATAGGATGGATAGGATCTTTATTCCTATTTTGCAGATGCACAAACCGAGTGATGGCAAAACACATATTCACACATATGACAGAGCTTGTCCAGGCCAGGTGCTTCTGCTTCTGAGGGGATTTACTTTTGAGCAAGTGCCTCTGCCCTTCCCCCACCTGCGCACACCTGTTGCTGCGTAGCAAGGGCTGGCACACCTGGGCTGACGGCCCAGCTTTGTCCCTGTTTCTTTCCTTCCCTCCCCACTGTCAGCCCTAATGCAGATCAGATAAGAGACTGATCAGACAGGCGCAAAGGCCCTCCCCAGCCCCACCCCCACCTTGATGCACCCACCTGTCTACACTTGAGGATGCTGTTGCCAAAACGGCCGCTACTTGATGCTGCTGCCACCCAACCAGCTGCGCCTGCGCTTTGTGGGCCCCAGGGCGCCTCAGGCTTTCCGCTCCCCAGGGGAGCCCTGGGCCTACACCAGCCCTGGGCTCCGCCCCCCAGCTCGCTCCACCCCTTGGGAGGGGGCGTGGTATAAAAGATGTGCTACACAAGGACTTCCGGGACTTGTAGTCTGCCGCGCCAGGTCTGGTTCATACTCCTGGATAGTTGCATTGTGTTGACAGGGAGCACAAAACAGTGGCTGCCCCTGCGATTTATTCTCTAAGACATTTGTTCATTCCTCTATCATGAGATAATTTCTCCTATGAATAGTGAACTCATATTCTAGGAAAAAATTAGTTGCCACAAGAAGCCAGTTTCGTCCTTTGGTTACCTTTTTTCAGTACTCAGTTTGTGTGTGACACTGCATTGGGAGCAAGTGGAAGGCACAAAGAAGCACCTGACAAGGTCCTTCCTCCTTCCTTTCCCAGGTTCCTCTCAGGTAGGAGAGACAATACATAAACAATTAGAGCATGGGGTGTCATTTAACAATGAAAGAGTCTAATTTTACATAAGAGGCCTCCCAAGTAGCTGAAAGGGGTATTGAAGGATGAGTAAGAGTTTTCCCAGGGGGAACGTAGGTAACTCAGATGATCAATTGTCAAGAAATTCAAGAGTATGGAGTATTTCAGTTTGGAAGGTAGGCTGCAATGGCAGGGAGGGCACAGAAGGGGCAAGTGATGAAGCTGTAGGGGTTGCAAAGATATAATCTGAAGGCTTTAGTGACAGGCTTGACTTGGACATCAGGACAGAGCTTAAGGATGGGGGTTTCATCATGAGGATTAGGTTTGTGTGTTGGAAAGGTTCCTTTAGGACATTGTAAAAAATGGATCAAAAGGGGCCTCCCTGGTGGCTCAAGGGTTTGAGTCTCAGCACTATGAAGCTATCCATTTTTGATCCCCAGCCAGGAAGGTGACCCACATGGAACAGCAGACCTCTCCTGTCTCACTTGCTGCTGGCCTCAGCTGTGTATTTCAGACAGTCTGCCTGTTCTGCTTCCCACTCTGTATCTGGTGAATACTCTCACCCTCTGTCGCTCTGGCCTATAAGCCAGTTGTTGTATGCATCGGAGGGGTCGGAGGGGATCCCACTGGAGAAAGAAGACTTCCTTGTCTGTTGCCTCGGTCTGGTTTGCCCCTCTAGGGTCTTCCCTTGAGCAGCTCAGCCCCACAAACCCTCACCACAAGCAGACCTAGGAGGGCATTCAGAGAACAGAACCTAAAAGGTTCTGGCATTTCATCCCCTATTTGAGATGTGAACCCACCCTGTCCAGGGCCCTTCTGCCCCTCTCCCAGAGAGCTCTTCCTTACCGAGGCTGCAGGGCTCATGGCTCTTGGGTGACCAGGGAGCGATTGGCAGAAGGCACCAGTAGGAGAGTGGGAGTCCTTGAGCGCCTTAGAGATAAGGGGATAAAGCAGGTGCTACCAAGTGGTGGCCCGAAGAGGGAGACAACAGGGAGGGAAGGCACATTAGTCCTAGAGAAAGCCATCTCTTCAGTCTCCTCCCCAACCTCCATTATTCACTGGTGGTCTTGGGCTAGAGCTTCATAGCCCCCACTGGGAGGCCAGTCCTCTTCCCTCTGCAGGGGGCAGCACTAAATATTTCTTGAGCAGTTTGTGGGTAGAGGTCACTCCAGATCTGGTTTCTCAGCGTAGCCCTTTAAGCTATCTTCTCACTACTGAATCTTTGTAATCCTGATCTCCAGCCCTTGTGCTGAGCGTGCTTTGCTGAGGGATTGGCAGGGCGGATCTTAATAGCGTCTGAGCTCAATCCCTCCTTGCTGCCCCAGAAACTAGCACTCCCAAACCATGCTGTTTCCAACCATGCCCTTTTCTGTCCATGGAATGTCCCACCCTACCTTCGTTGGGATAAATTTATGGCTCCCATAACAGAAGGAAGGAAAGGAAAGAGGGATGAGAGAGGGGAGGAAAAGAGGAAATAGAAGAAGAGCAGGGAGGAGTGGAGCAGACCCCTATGCCACAGGGGAATGGTGTAGAAACCTGTGTTACTTTCTCTAGATTTAGCAACCAGTTGAAAATGGAAGATTCTCTAGGGGCAGTGTGGAGTTCAGGGGGGAAAATGCCCCGTCCCCAAAGAAGGAATGCTGTGATGAGGAAAAGCTTCTGGGCAAGCCAAAATCACAGATGTAGTGGACTCTATATGCAGTGAGAACTAAAATGTTGATCAACAACCAACATTTTATTGAAGCTAATAATGGGTATAGATTCAGCCAAGGAAGAATGCATTTTTGCATTTAATTCTTGGGAGTTCATAGACCACCCCCTCCTCCCCCAAACCATGATAATTGCTCTTCAGGTTGTTTTTAATCGTGGAGTCTTGTAGACTGGTGGAAAGGGTGGGGATTGACAAGTGAGAAGCACTCAAAGCATGGCTGGAATCCCAGTTCCAGCTTTAAAAAAAAATTTTTTTTTTTATTTAAAGGATACAGGCCAGAGATGGGGGGATGGGTTGTGTGTGTGTGTGTGTGTGTGAGAGAGAGATTCACCAGAAACACAGTGGGGAACAGAACAGGTAGATTGAAAATACACAGCTGAGGGGAGCAGTGGGCGAAGACAGAAGAGGTCTACTGCGCTTGTGGATCACCTCCCTGGTTGGGGATCCAGTTTGTGTTCCAGTGTCTGCAGGTAGCTTCACAGTGCTGCACTTTAACACCTGAGCTACCAGGGAAGCCTCCCAGCAGCTCCATCTTTGAGAAACTTTATTGACTAAAACTTATTGAGACCACCAAACCAACAAGTAACTTTCATATTTCTCTTGTACCTTTAGTACATAGAACACTATTGGCAGAAAGAAGAGTATGTTGCTATTTCAAATATTTCAAGTAGATGAACAACTCATGGATAATATATTGTTTAGAGAACTGTGGACTGACTCATTAAAGTTCACTACTTACATTTTCTAGAGAATATATTATAATGAGAATACATTATCTCAAATGACTAAAAATGCCTACATTACTAAAAAAATGCCTGAAATTTATATCAAGATGCAAATTTTAAGCAATTTGAGTGAAATTATGTTTTTAATACTTTTGGTGAAAGATAATAAACATACTCTAATAGTCACTTGAAGTATACAACTCAGTGTTCTGATATATTCACAGTGTTGTGCAGCCATAACCACTATATAATTGCAGAACATTTTGATTATCCCCCAAAAGAAATCCTCAAACCTTTAGCCATCACTCAATTATTCCCTTTACTCCCAGCCCCTGGCAACCATTATCTACTTCCTCTGGGTGGACCTGCCTATTCTGGACATTTGATAGTTATGCAATATGTAACCTTTTATAAATGGCTTCTTTTACTTAAATTAATGTGTTCAAAGTTCATCACTATGTTGTAGCAATGATGGAACAGTTTTTAGTCTGGGCCTTTTTATTGAAGAAGAATAATGCATTGTATGGATATACCATAGTTCATTTATTCATTCATCACTTCAGGGTCATTGTTGTGATTCCCACTTTTTATTATTATTTTTCACAACTATTATGAATAATGCTGTTGTAATATGTGTGTACAATTTATTTTTAATCATACCTTCTCATTCTTCTTGGATGTCACAGTGCTCTACGTTTAGCATTTTTCAGAACTGTCAAACTATTTACCAAAGTGGATGTACCATTTTGCAGTCCAACAACAACCTATAGCAATTTCAGTGTGTCTGCATCCTTGAAATGTGCCTGACCAAAAGGAGCTTACAGAAACTAGGCTGTTTTAAGTAAGGTTTGGTTGTGCATGTAAAACATTGCATGTAGCTTAAGCAAAAACTATGTTCTCTCTCTTCATCCCTGGTCTCTGTGTGTCTGCTTTATTCTTCTTTATTCTTTCCTCTCTGGTTGGCTCCAGAAGGAAGAAAATTCCAAGAAAGGATTCTGATTGGCCCAACTTCTGTCATGGGCCCATTTAGGGTAGATTCTGTTTGAGAAAGGAAGGGGGAAGGAAAGTAGAGGTGTTAGAAAGACTAAGGCAATAACCAGTGTATTTGGGTGGAGACAGCAAGGCTCTGAGGGACAAAACAATATTCAAGAAGGACTCACTTGCATGGCTCTTTTGGTTAGGTGAATAGGGTAAATACATACCAGTGTTCTGGGTGAAAGGTAACACATGACTCTGACTCTTGAAAAAGACCTCCCCTCTCCACACCCCTTGACTTGGTCCCTGGGGAAAAAGTAGAAAAATGCACATTCCAGCCAAAGAGTCTCCTCAAAGCACAGAGGTCACATTGTTCCAATATCATTGGTTTGTTGAGGTGGCCCTAACTGAGCTCTGCAGCAGGAAAGACCCTGAGGCCCCAAGGCCCCTCGCCAGAGGATGCCAAAGTAGAAGACACTGTTCTATCTCTGGGCCATTGGCCAAAGAACTCAGTGTTCCTACTATGTTTGGGGCACAACCTGCAGGAGGGCCTGAGCTCGGAGGACCCTGTGGCTTGCCAGGAATCTGAATCGGCCTGAGTCTCATGCCAGTGGATCAAGGGGGCCTTGAACTTGGTGAACTTTGGGAGCAGGACCATGCTCTTTGAATTGAATAATATCAGTTACTCAACTGAAGAGTTGGTTCTTGGATGATTCTGGAATTGAGAACAAAAAGAGGTATGCTAAAAACCCTGCTGAGAAACCAGATCATATCAGCTTATGTGGTGGCAGCTTTCCATAGTGAAAGTCTCACTGTGAATAGTCAGGGTCCTCCAGTAAGGTATAATTTCTGTTTGTGATTATCAGTTTTTATAAACTAATAACCCCCTTTGCTTATATTTAAAAATGAGTCTATGGAATTGCAAGGCCTTCCAAATTTATTTATCAAGAACAGAAAAGGCAGCTTCATTGAAATGCACTGCTGAGAGGAGCAGTGTGCCAGACAGGAGGGGACCTCTGCCAAGAATTCCAATTTTAGATCTTTGTGCCCATCAGGAGACCCTGCAGGGCCATACTTGTAGGATGCATATGATGCCACAGAGCACAGATAGCACCTTCCCCAGGAGTGATGGGACACACCGAAATGAC